TCTACAGAGTTGACATATGGCTTCATTTAACTGAGCATGTTGGATAACATCAGTACTGTAATAATGAAGACTTAACACAGATAATTTATACTATATACAATATTCTTCTATATATTTTTAAAACTTTTTTTTCATAATTGTTATGCATTGTTTTAATTGTTTAGTCAGGGAAAGCTCCCCACTTCCCATCTTTTTGTTCAGAAATGTTCATTTGTCAGAGAAGGAGAAGAAGGTTTTAAAGCATGCCTTTTTTCTAAGGTTGAAAAATAGCAAGTTCTACATATTGGAAATTTGCCCTTATAGGCCACTTTATCATAATTATTTATGAAAAGTTGTCCGAATGTACTGAAGCATAAGAGAAATGAAATAAGGAATTGGAGAGTCTGGTACATGAACATCAATGGAAGACCATTTCAGCATCCACATGTCACATTTTCATTTTTCATTTTTAAATTACAATTAAAAATTGCAATAAACATATACAATATATTCAAAATGTACTATATTATTATAATAATAATTACAATTGTATTATAATTTGCACAATGTAGTTTTATCTTATAATGGGTCTTTTTTGGACAAAAGTTACTTGACATATTAATTATGTTTTGGAAGACTCACTGGCTCTTGTAAATGTTCATGTTGAATGGTATGTCAAAAATCTAACACTAAAACAAGATAAATTATTACTGTGTACAAACAGAATTAGATATTGTGTACCAAAAAAAAAAAAAGTTGATACAATGATGGATGGATGCTCATTCGCCATCAGTGGCAGAATGTCCTGATACTTTTCTTTTGCTGAACAAGTATTTTTCGAGTGGGAATCCTGATTAGAGGATTTGACCTATTTTAATTAACAGGTTTAATTTCCAATTTGTTTCTTAGGGTTTTTCTTTCCTTTTTTTCTTTTCTTTTATGCATATGGAGTCAATCAATCTCTGTCCTTCAAGGAAGAGAAATGCTGGAGAATTCAAAAGAATTTGTTGCATGAACCCAGTCTATGTGGTTAGATTATAGTTCCTGGTATCATACAAACCAAGAAAATTGGTTTAATTTCATATACTATGATTACCATGCAGCCATGTTGTATGAACATGGCATCTTCTCCATATTAAAACTATAACTATTTAATTTTAATTGAGTAAATAGAAATGAACCATATTGTGCTATTAAGAAGCCACATCTCTAAGGAAGGAATCACTTTACCTCACTTTAACAATCTTAAAGTGTATTGTTTCCTCAAAACAAAGTTTGATATTTATTTTATTTATAAAATGTCTGTGCTACCCCTTACTCAGTAATAACAATTGCCTTGAAAGCAGTATCAGTGATCAAATAAAAAGGGTGTCAGTTGATAGGGAACTCAACATGCCATTATCTCTCCATATTAAGTGCCCTCACTGAAATTTCCTCTGCAGTGCAAAGAAGTCAAAGCCCTTATATAGGGATATGTCTCAGAATTTAAACTCTGGGCTTTTTCCTCCAACCTTTCTGAAGTAACTCTTGGAATGGCACAGACTTGTTTATATAACTGTCCTCTATAGCCTGGGAACTGCTAGTTGTTATCTTACCAAATTCAACCCTTATACCATCTGTAGAATTGGGACCAATCTATTTCCTTCATAAACATGCAAAGAATAGGTTGCAATAAATACCTAGAAGATAGACAGAAAAAGAAAGCCCCAACAACCAGGCAGATGATCTTTCTCTCCTTAGATGTCAGCAGCACAATCTCTTTCGTAAGCCACAGCTGTCCTTCTGACTCCCTGTTTACGCTCTGTGAGCAGTTTTTGCTTGTTGTAGATCACAAGGTGACAGTTATGGCACAGTAAAGTGAATGCATGTGTAGAAGTACTTTGGGCTAGTTCAAACCTTCTGGATATAGAGGAGAACAGAGATGGCTTGGAAAAAAATATTCAACAGCTGTTACATAAACACCAGCTTAGCCTGGAAAGGAGGAAGAAATAAGGAAGAATTCAAGATTGGCACACCTTGATTCTCTTGGGTTGAAGAGGAAAGAGACAGAATCTCTGTCAGATCTTTCAAGATTCTGTTCTTATACCCTTAAACAATAAAGTAGAATTCCAGTAGTCTTATGGAATCTGTTTCCTGACCTGGCCCATCTTGAAGGACTAATATTAGTCTACCTACAATGGAGACACAGCCAATTCTCTCCCAAAGGCTGCACAATACCAATGTAGCACTATATCCTCTCTAAAGTAACAAGCATTTGACACTAGCATTCTCTCATACACTTATCCCTAAGCTTAGTCCTGCCTAATTATAGATGCCAATTTATGAACTGAATCATTCTGGAGGTGTTCCATCCATTCTCCCTGTTCTGGCAAATTCACTCACATCTGCACTGTAAATCAGGAGGGAAAAGGTTTCACAGGTTATATATTTTTTGTCATACAAAACAGATGTCTGAGCACATAAATCTCCAAGTATCTAAAGGGCTCATCATTAAAAAATGAATCCAAAAGGATTTTTCATCAATTATATTCATGAAAAAAATAAGATGCTTTCTGTATTCACTTTATTCAGTATGCATATAGAAAATGTGTGTCATAATAAATGTCCTGAGAATCCCTTGAACTGTCTTTAAGATTTCAAGGGAGAGATTATCAAGGAGGAATGCCAAATATGAGCTGGAATTTGCTACCATATTATTGTGTGTATTGAAAGTGTTTGATTGTGAAAGAATATGTCTGTGCATCTGTATGTGTCTGCATATATGAGTTTCATTATTTCATTTTACTCCAAATGCCACTGGCATTCTCAATCCATCATTACTATTTTTTAAAAAAAAAAATACTTACACAATCATAAACAGAGATGCGTTAAGTACAAAAACAGAAATAAAGAATAAACTGAAGCAAACCCATAAAGATGATGTTGCTACTGTAAAAAAAAAGGGTGGGTAGGTACTGGCTATAACTCATTCATGAAGCAAAAGACATGAAAGTCAAGACAACAGTTCCAAAGTTGTAAAAGTGATTATAGAAAATCATGCATTACTGATAATAAGTATATCATATGAGACTGCAGTAGGGTAACATTCTTTTGTATTTATTTCATGAAACTTGAAAATTGTTTTCTTCACCAAAGCCAACAACTCATTCAATAAAATTTGACAATGGGATTAAAATTAAAGAGTTATTAAATGATGTGGCATTAAAAGACTGACAATTCAGAACCGCATTTAGAACCCTGCATAACGTGCTATATTATATCAAAGGATCCAATTTCACCTTTGTCAGGAAAGGGTCCCATAACTGCAGGGCTAATATTAGGAAAGGCCATGTCCTAAATGCGCAACAACTTAGTCTCTCAAGATACTGGGATATAGTGGCCTTCAGTGCTCATCATACAATGATGATCCTGTTCATATAGAAAAGATGGTCCTTCAAATGCCCCAAATCATTTATGGGTTAGTAAGTAAAATAAATAAATAAATGCAGTTGAATTGTGACTGAAAAACAGTGAAATACTAAGACCATTGTAATCTCACTACAAAACCCAATCTGGCCAGACTTTTTTGAATGAAGTTTAGTTTTCAAACATTGAAAAAGAACAAGCATAAGTAGAACACAGCACAATAATGTAAAATGAGATTTCGAAAGCATGAACTCTTTTTGCCAGAACTTCCTTCCCTTAAAGAAAGATGCAGCAGGCAGAACAAAGACATCTCCAAAAACACTGCTGGAGCTGTGTCTTTCCATATATCCTTTCCTTTTCAGGAGCCATGCCAGATCCCAGAGCATCCCCAAAGATCCATATCTGACTTGTGCAGGTCAATGCTACTCCATCCAGAACAGACTGTACCCACAACCTATATGTATATATTAAATATTCATACTAATTAATGTAGTATCTTGAATCTCAGTACTCTGGGCTTTAATTTGGGGAACTCTAAAGTCATTGTATGCATGAAAGCCTTTTTATGCAGCCAAGCATAGGAATGGTAAGGATGGCATGTTAAGTGGGCAGCAAGGAGCTGCTGGCATTTGCTTTCCTCAATATTTGAACTACAGAGTAAACCATGGGTTGGTTCCTTATTCATCCTTCCTTATGTGTATCTTTGAGTCATCTTCAATTCCACAGTTTTATGATGAGAAATCCATTCTTCCAGTCAGTAAAACTGGAGACTAATAACTCATGTAATCTATCCCAGGTTTACTGGACTTCACATCCCAGAAATCCCAGGTATTAGATATTCTGGCTGAGAATTCTGGAAGTTGTAAATCTAAGACATCTAGAGAACACATGCTTGGAGATATATGCACTAGAATATGGTGGCTGAGACTTAGATACTAGCCTCCACCTTCTTTCATTTGACACTTTTTAAGACTGTTCTAGTTTTTTCTTATATTCACTCTATAATACAGCAGTCTAAACCAGCAGTTCTCAGTCAGGGGCCATATGGTCCCCTGGGGGCCCTAGGATAATTTAAGGGGGCCAGAGGTGAAAAACATGTAATGGGGTCCATGGCATGTACTAAGGGGGGCACAGAAAAACCAAGTATATTATACTGCAAACACTGTCTTGTTGACACCAGAAAACATACCAGTCACTGTCCCATGTCCATATCTGGTCATGGGACCTGGATGGAGAGGGAGGCACTGGAGAAAAACAAAGTCAGAAAGGGGCCATGGGCAAAAAGAGGTTGAGAAACACTGGTCTGAACCTACAAAAATATATATTTAGATTTTGTCCCAAGAAAACTATTATAATTGATTACATTAAGACAACATTAAACAAGCAAACATAGAGGTTTAGATTATTTTCAGCCCCATCCAGAATACGTTTTATGTACAATTATGGAACAACAATTTCTTAATTGTTATTTAATATTACATTTGTTAGAAATATGTACTTATTAGTAAAGTAGGGTTTGGGGTTTTGTTTTTATTTTTGTTTTTTTGGCTATTCTTACAAATGTTTGTAGCCATTAAAACTGAAGGCAAAATGGGGCATAAAAGATCTGTACTTACTATATGCAGTTGTAGAAAGTCAGTAAGGCCAGGGGCACTGTCAATCCGTACCAAGATGCCATCTTTTACTGTCGTGCTGAACCCAACAGCAAGGCGGTCTGTTCTTGTACTGGGTCTGTCATTTGCTGGCCAAGTATACAGGATGAGGCCTCCACTTTTCCCAAAGATGTATGTCGCTCCAGCTGCAACATACACATAAAAAACATATAGAGGTAACTTACCCAGTTATATTAACATTTCAATTGCATCAAATAGTACTAGATATAAGTGCAAGATTCCATTAGAGAAAGTTATGAAAGCCTAGGGTGCTGTGTCATCCTGAATTAAAGATGTGAACAAAATGAATTAATAACAAAGCAGTTGCAAAGCATGAACCTTGGTAGACTCAACTACATAATAGCACAGGGCAGATAACACATTGTCTCTAAAAGCTTTTACACACTGTGACAAACCCTCAAGTTAGGCTTCTTTTGCCTAAAATTCATTTCACATTTCTGGAAAATACCATATTTACCCAAGAGGAAGACAAGTCCCCCTCCCCATGTAATTACTGGTAAATTTATGGGAGTGGGGTCATCTTACACTGAGAAGAACAGCAGAGAATAATATCAGACTGTTAAAAACAAGGGGAGGAGTGGGGGGTGCAAACGGTTGCAGACTGCTGTGAAGAATCAATGCCTTTTAAGATTAGCTACTGCTTGGGAGTAAACAGTTAACTACAAAAGGTTATTAATAATAACCTTTGAAAGGTTATTATTCACTGGTTATTTTACAACCAGTTAATTTTAATCAGTAGCTACTAATAGAATTATTAATGACTTGCTTTTTTGTTCTGGCTCTGTCTTTTTTTAAAGTGTGACTTCTGGATGTATATGCGATGCACACACAAAAGTGTTAGACACATTCATTATGGGAAGAGGACAAAATTTTTCAGCAGAACTTTGGATTGACAAGGTAACAAAGTTAGGTGTTGTATTAAATTTTTATCTAGAATCACAATTCTTCAGAGGGGGAAAAGAATTGTTTTAAATTCAGGAACATCTTCTATTCAAATAAATAAATTGCATTAAATTATCTTTTTTTTTTTTCCATTAAGCATAACATGGTCTGTGGAGGGGAAAAATGGAAAAAGTGTTTCACTGGGGAACAGAAAGGATATTTACCCAAACCATCAGATTTCTGACCAGCAGCTTACTCCAAAAGTAACTATAAGATGTTGAGAAGAACATCTGCCTTACAGAAAGCATACTATGTTCATTGCTATGTCTGGAGGTTGAGTCATGGCAACTGGACTTCTTTTCTTTTGGTCTGAAAAGTTTCACTGCTTGTCCAAGCAGTGAAACTTTTCAGACCAAAAGAAAAGAAGTCCAGTTGCCATGACTCAACC